TTTCCTGGATTGAACTTGAGCCCATTATCCGAAGTGAGGTATCACAAGATCGGAAGAATGGGCTCCACTTGTACTCGCCATCAAATTGGTATTAACTGATTAACAGTATGGTGCTCACATGGCAGTAATATTCTCCAGGGATTTGGGGGATGGAGGGTTAACTCACAACTAAAAGACATGGTGAGCATTGTAGAGGGGAAGGGCAAGCCTCCAACCCTCGCTTGGGTGAGGCAAAGACATAAAGGGTAACCAAAATGTTTGTACCCTCATAATACCCTGAAATAAAAAAAACACACAATGAGATATTACTTAACTCCAGTATTAATGGCTTTTATCAAAAAGTCCCCAAACAACAAATGTTGGTGCAGATGTGGAGAGATAGGAACACTCATACACTGCTGGTGGGACTGCAAACTAGCACAACCTCTATGGAAAGCAGTATGGAGATACCTGAAAGAACTAAAAGTAGAACTACCATTTGATCCAGCAATTCCACTACTGAGTATTTACCCAAAGGAAAGAAAGGCATTCTATAAAAAAGACACCTGCACACAAATGTTTATAGCAGCACAATTCACAATTCAAAGATGTAGAAACAATCCAAGTACCCATCAATAGATGAGTGGATTAATGAAATATGGTATATGTATACTACGGAGTACTACTCAGCCATAAAATAATGGTGAACTAATACCTCTTGTATTATCCTGGATGGAGCTGGAGACCATTCTTTTAAGTGAAGTATGACAAGAATGGAAAAACAAACACCACATGTACTCACCATTAAATTGGTACTAATTGATCAACATTTACGTGCACATATGGAAACAACATTCATCAGAAATCAAGCAGGTGGGAGGGGGAGGAGGGAAAGGGTAAATTCACACTTAACGGGTACAATGTACACTATCTGGGAGATGGGCATACTTATAAAATAAAAATTAAAAACAATTAAACAAGAGTAACATTATAAGAGGCAACATTCATTTAAAATGGCCTATATAAATTTAGCAGAGGCATGAGTGCAGTGGTGAGGCCACAAATCCTCTCCTAAGACCCCTGACTACAGATCTGGATGGTTGTAAGCATTCTTATACATATAATAATGCTACATAATGGGTCCTTAAGGGGTCAGTGCTGAAATGGGACCAGCCAAGCAAAACAACAAAGCAAGTGTTGATTGAATTGCAATGGTGCGAGGGTGCAGAGGCATAATTGATTATTGACACGACTGTGATTTGTATTGTCTCAACTGAGCTTTAATGAAACAACACTTTCCAGAATTCTTTTCCCTGAATACGTCTGGATTAGTCAGGCCTGCAAGAGATATTTTGCCCTTGAAAGGTCATGGGAGCACCAGGCACTGTTGCAACTACACAGGTAAAGGCAAATTTGTTGAGTCACCTTGTTGGTACAGGGCAGCAGCTGGCTTTGTAGCTCAGCGAGGCCCTGTTGAGTCTCTTCCTCCAGCTTCTCCAACTCCTGGGGCAGCATATGCAGCTCCCAGGGTAGCACCTAAGTCAACATCTCTTCCATCTCCTCATTTAAATAAAATTAACATTTTTATGATATTGAGTCATCCTATAACAGATCTGGGGACATCTTTCCATTTGTTTGAGTATTCTCTTGTTTCCATCTTCGGCATTTAAAAAAAGTTTTCATGTGTCATTTACAATTTTTAATGTTTATGTCTAATCCCTATTTCTTTTAAATTGCTTTTCGAATTGGTCTTTAATCAAATTATGTATTTTAACAGGTTATTTTCTGTATATATGAAAGCTGGTGATGAATTTCTATTAATTTTGTACTCAGCCACACAATTAAATTCAGGTATAACACGTAATGGTTAATGTCTTCTCCTCCTTTCTGATGTGTGAAACTGTTACTCCTTTGCTTTATTGTTATGTATTGACATGCATAATGTGATGTATGGAAAGCATCCAACCACTCTCATTTTTGTCTTTCAACTTGTCTTTTGATAACCAACTGATTATCTCCGTTTGGTGTCTTAATATAGCAAATGAAGAGATTTCTTAACATTTAACCCTCCTCACGTTAACCATTCTTGGTGCACTATTCTTTGCATACGCTGACCTGGATTATGTTTGTTAATATTTGGAGCTTTTCTAGTAATGATGAAAAGCAACCACATCTGCAGCCAGGAGCCAATAATCCAGCTGAGAGATGCAGGAAGAAGAAACCGTGTTCACAGAACCTCACTCAAGTGGCGTCCAAAGCCGAGAGTTCGCAAAGGAACACGCAGGGGGTGATCAGTGAGAGGCAGGGAGAGGCGCGGCAGGAGGCCTCCTCCACTTGCAGAACAGGAACGCTCTGCTCTCTGTGGGCAGCCCGTTCCGCCTCCCCATACATCCCCAAGTGTCCTGGGCTCCTCCCCTGCTCCCCGCCCCCCACTGGCGTCCTCCCTTGGAATCCTCGGCCCCGCCCCTCTGATTCTGGCCCCGCCTCCTCGAGGACGCCAGGCCCGCCCCACATCCCGCCCCCCCGCCTCCCAGCCCCTTAGCCTGTGTGCTTCCCGTGACGCACCGGCGCACCAGCGACCACTCGCGTTGTGGGCGGGGCCCGCTCTAGCGCCTGGGCCCTGCCCCATGGCTCCGCCCACAGCCCGCCAGGGGGCTGGGCCCGCCTCCGCGGACGTGCACTTCCGCCGACGCCTGGGCGCTCCCTCCTGTGAAGCCCAGCGGAGCTCAGCAGAACAAGCCGGGCGCGATGGATCGGGCGCAGGTGATAAAGACCCTCCTGGCCAGGCCTCTTCGGGCCGACGCGCGTCGGTGGAGGAACCCGATTCCCTTTCCCGAGACGTTTGACGGCGATACCGACCGGCTCCCGGAGTTCATCGTGCAGACGGGCTCGTACATGTTCGTGGACGAGAAGACGTTCTCCAGCGACGCCCTGAAGGTGACGTTCCTCATCACCCGCCTCACGGGGCCGGCCCTGCAGTGGGTGATCCCCTACATCAAGAAGAACAGCCCCCTCCTCAACGATTACCGGGGCTTCCTGGCCGAGATGAAGCGGGTCTTTGGATGGGAGGAGGACGAGGACTTCTAGGCCGGGAGACCCTCGGGCCTAGGGGCGGGTGCTCTGGGGAGGGTCCTCTGCGCCAGTTGCTGCCTCCTGGATTGCCACCGGTGCCCTACTGCGGAGCCTCCCTCCCCTTACCTCCAGATGGGGAGATCGTCCCGAGCTTCTCCCCCTCCTGTGTCGTGCTTGCCTTTGTTCCAGAAATAGCGCTCCAGGCTGGCGCTGCTGCCTGTGGGCCTTGCTCTGGAGCCTCCGCCGCCCTCTCCTGCCAGCCCAGCCCCTCCCATGCACATTTGGACTCTGTCCTGTGCTCCAGCTGCAAGCTGGGGTCCTGTTACACACTGGACAGACCACCCGTAGCTGGCCGCTGCTCACCATCCCCCTGCCACACTGCCAGATTCTTGTGTCATTCTGCTCACACACCTGCGCTGCCGCTGCTACTGCTGTCACCATCCACTGCATCCCACTGCCAGACTGCTGCTCTTAGCGATCTAGACTCACCTTGGAGGTATCTGAGCTGGCCACAGCCCTCGGACAATAATTCAGACAGCTAGCCACCCCCCTGAATGGGGCAGCCAGCCTTTCACCTTCAGCAACACTCATTTCTTTCCTACTCCCAAAGACCTCTTGTGTTCCTACCAGATAGCTGCCAGGGCCCAGGTGTGCCTGGTGGCCAAATCCAGTCACTCATTTTTCCTATGGACCAGTTAGTTTTGCCCAGAATCCATTTCTCTTCTGAATTTGCAGCTGTCTCTGATGTGTGCCTTTTGTTCAACACTAGAATCCCTGCAGTCTGCCCTGCTCTTCTATACTACCTGTACAAAGTCTTTTCTTATTTTCAATAAATGTCAGACACTATTGAAAAAGAAATTGAGTCTCAATCAATATGACACCTTTCCCTCCCTGGTCCTGTAAATTGGGTCCATATCTTGTTCAAAACCTATATGCCCTGTCATTCAGTGACTGATGTTGACCCTTGCATTTTAAAATGAAAGATTGAACTTTGTGGTAGTCCTGGGGATAGAGACCTTCCTGTCAACTGTGCAGTGCCAAATGAAAACCCTTCTAAACGACTCACTTTCATGCCTCTTGGGAAATGGACCTCGATCTGATTTTGGCCCAGGCATGGTAAGGAGAAGTCAGTTAGGGTGCTTTTTGGAGAAAGTTCCCTCATGTCCAAAAAGCTACTTGAAAGCACATATCCCAAATTATTACAAACCATAAATCCCACACATTTATTGGTGAACACCTTTCAAACTTTTACTTAACCCATTATTCAGGGGAACAGCAGAATGGCCTAGGTATTTCAGAAAGAGCATTTACATTTACACTGCTTTGATTGTGCAGGTAGTGGAGAAAAGAATGCAGAACTGTGTTAATTTTGGTACAAATCTGGTTAATGATCTGAAAGACAATACAATTATAACTTTCCCTAATGGGCATAAAAAAGAAAAACATGACTCCTCAATGTTTCTTTATATGTCAGTCTTTCAAATCTGTGCTGAAAAGCCTTTACTACCCCATCTGTTGCTGGGGAAATTTCAATATCCCAATAGAGGAAGATGATCCTAAGGTGGGCATGTAGGACAACACTTAATCAATGCTGCCTTATTTCTAGTATGTGTAATTTGTCCAAAACATATGAATGAGGAATAAATCACAATAGTGTTTTTTCACTTTATTGCATCTCTCTCTTATTTAAACAGGTGAAATTTTGTCATTCACACACAGTTGGTTTGTTTCCCTCACTTCATTCTCAGCAATCTACTCAATACTCAACCAAGAAGCCTTACCTCCAAAGGATGGAGAAAGTTAGACTGACAGTACAGAAGATGAATATAAGAAAGAGAACAGAGAAATGCAATTAATTTTTTATTTTTGGTGGTTGGGGCCAGTAATGACTTAGAGCCTATATTTAAGATAATTACACATTTTCTAACACTCAAATCCACAAAAATTTAATAGTGTCCTGAGGCCTTGGTTCTCAGAAGAATCTGGGTAGTGTAACAGAGGCAAAGGTCTGAAAAAGGCAACAAAATGTTTTATGAGTTGTCTCTTTGAAACCCCCCCCTTTTTGGGAATTAAAACATGCATTCCTTTCCTGAGGTCAGTAATCAAAAGGGCAGAAAAATGTTCTTTGCTGTTTTCTAGTAACTTAAACCACCAGAGATGGCTCAACAGAGTTGTCCAAGGGTTACAAGGTGGTCATCACCAGAGATAAAGTCCACCAAAACCACCAATTATAGTTAAGCAATAGCCTGAAGCCATGACATGTGACACTGGTCACAGACCAAATACCAAGAGCGAAAAGCCTCCTTTTTACGAAGCGTTGTATTTCTGCTTAAAGAGGAGTCACTAGTCCACTGACCTCATTTGCCAGCAAACTAATAAACTTCTCTTTCCTTTTCCTCAAACCACTGTCCTCATTCTTTGTTCTCACTGATTCAGCCATGGGGACAAGTACTAAACTTTTGGTAACAATAGAATGTATTGGTGAAAGTCCTCACTCACCCCTTAACGCCAATGGCCCAAGCACACCCTCGTACACAGAGTTAGCCCTAAGGCAGAGATGGAGTAAGAAAGGGGATTCTAAAGGGACCCTTTGTGAGTATCCCCATTCTGTCTGTCCACCAGGAGCCTGAAGGGAGCTAAAGGAGTATGCTGAGAGATTGAGCACCAGAAGTCCTGGATACAGGGGCTGCTTCCTCCAATTGCCTCTGCAGGGATCCGATGACCTATCTGCTTCTAAGGGTATTAATAATGATAATATTTTGTCTTCCATCATGGGGTGTACTGGGACTACTTAGGTACTGCAATAAGCAGTTCTGAGTAGCAATGAGCCTAAAATGAAAGGTAACAAATCTGTTGGGACCAGGTATGGGAAAAACAAAGATCAGTCAAAACACACACCCAATAAAATAAAATAAGCAAACTGAAAGCCTGAAATTAAAGTCCTCCAAACTATTTAGTGGCATGGGGAAATGGTCACGCCTGACCAGTAAGGAATAAAAGGAGTCTACAAAACAGTCAAAACATAGGGCAATCAAGACCACTGATTGCAGCAGCCCTGCCACAGAGCCCAGCGGATCCTGGAACCTGTTTTCCTCTCCTTGCTGCAGCTGTTTCTGTGTCTTAAGGCAACTGAGAGCATAATGTCACGTGATCAAAAGGAGAACATTTAGAATTTCACAACTCTCATTCCTAAGGATACAGTAAACCTGTTAATTTGGGACTTGGGCTAAAGACTGCAGTAGTACCTGCTCTGCAACTTGAGTGGAGGACTGCATATTTACTCACAGTAGAAACAAACACAATTTTTGCAAGATTATTAGGATAGATTCCTAAAACTAACGTATAGATCAAAGTCCATGTAACACTTTAACTATTTGGACCTGTCAAAAACGTCCCTCCATTGTCAATTCCATATTGCCATTACTTCCTCCTCCTGTAGTGGGCACTACATGTAGTTTCTTAAGGCTTGTCAATAAGAGGAACATGCGTGTACTTTGGAAAATAGAAGTGCGGATATATCTTCTTGGAAGTATCTCTTCTTTGAAAGATTGAAATAAATTAGCTTGTAAAACCAAAAAAAAAAAAAAAGTCCCTCCAGAAAGATTATTTTCAAATTACATTCTCATGAGTAACGTGAGGGAATGTCTCTTTGCCCATCGTTGTTGAACTTTTAATTTTTAATAAAGATAAAATATCCCCAACAACACTTTTTCCCACTATAAAGTTCTTTTTTTTTCCTGCATCATGTCTGTCACCAAAACAATGAGGCTTTTACAAAATTTTTCCTTTCTCCCTCTTCTCCCTCTCTCTTCTATCCTACCATAATTGAGACAATTGGACCCACGACCCCAAATCATGGGGTTGGTGGAGATAGTTGATGTCCGAAAGTATGAAACTTATACAGCTAGGGAGTTTTTAAAAATAATTTTTAGGCCTCTACAGGGAGCAATATTTAACTTATATGAAAGCCTATCAATCACCTCTCTGTCAAAGATCATTAAATGACATTTTCAGGGATGGAGAGGATGGCAAAGTTGAATTTAGACCTTTCCAAAATTCAGGGAGGTCTCCAACAATGAAGTGTTTCCATCTTCCCAAAAGAAGACGTATAAGCAGGTTCCAATGATGAGTTAGCAAAGTTGCCAAGTAGAATAGTGAAAGAAAAAGAAAGAATAAAGAGTACCTGCCCATAAGATGTTGTGAGAAAATAAACAGATCAGACATCAAACAAAATTGCAGACGTAACCATCCACAAATTTGGGCTCCACATTCACATTCACCGTGAAATCTTCAGGAAGGGAATTTAGTCTAAAGTGGTTCTGGACTGTTGTGTAGAGAATATAAAGTTAAAAGGCATGTACATTCAAATTGACTTTCAAGTTACAGGATTGCATATAATCCTCCCAAAGGCTCCACTACTCCCAGTTTGGTCTACCTTCATGGACTCACACAGAGACAACCTGTCTTGGAATCCAAAGCTGAGTAACACCCTGACTATAACCATCATTCTCAGTGCTTTCCTGAACTATCATTAGTTGAGTGGGACTATTACCCTGGCTGGGTCCAGAGTCCCTTTCTCATCAACCATCCAGCCATCTCCAAAGTCAGTTTAATGAATATTCCGCTAGTATCTCCTGTTTGGGCAGGTCACAGGCAACAGAGTGCATTGAGCAGGGCCCTCCTGGGCAGCCCTGGAAACTCAGACTAGCACGGGTCATTTGAGCCCATTATTTGATGAATTGGCACCAATATAATTTATGTAATCAAGGCCATAAAGATGAGGAGCAAAGAACTTGCCATGTAAGTAGCCATGACATCATAGCCAACCCTGTCCACTCTGCCAAAAATAAAACATATTAATATATAATGCTTAAAAATGATGAAGTCTTATGTGTATCGAGGTCCTAATATGTACAAAGAAATGTTAGAGGTCGGGCGGGGTGGCTCATGCCTGTAATCCTAGCACTCTGGGAGGCCGAGGCGGGAGGATCGCTTGAGCTCAGGAGTTCGAGACCAGCTCTGAGCAAGAGCAAGACCCCGTCTCTACTAAAAATAGAAAAAATTAGCAAGTCAACTAAAAATACTAGTCGGGAGGCTGAGGCAGGAGGATTGCTTAAGCCCAGGAGTTTGAGGTTGCTGCGAGCTAAGCTGACACCACGGCACTCACTCTAGCCCGGGCAACAAAAGCGAGACTCTGTCTCAAGAAAAAAAAAAAAAAAGAAATGTTAGATATGCCTCATGCACATGACCTTATTTCATCATTTTGAGATGGGGTCAATATTTCTGCCTACTCCTTCAGGCCAGGACAGATAGAGAGAAACAGACATTTGCAAACAAGTGAATTTATTCCAGGTATTTTAAGCAGGTATATTTAAGCACTTAGTTCAGATAATTGCAAGTAGGGCTGGAGAGGCAGGCCCTAGGTGTCACAGTATTTTTTCATGGTGTTAAGAGTATTAAAACTAATATGTATTGAAGCAGATGCTGTTAATGCTCTGTCCTTATCCCCTTGGAGCTCTTGATCATTTTTGTGCACATCAGCTCCCCTTTTGCTTTTTCTTCCAATAGCTAGAATCTGTGGCTCTTTGTCACAGGACTGCAGAACAAACCCCCTTTTGTCTGCACGCATGAAGAGCTGGTACCTGGGAATTAAAGTCCTCCAGAATTTAGCCTTTAGCTAATGACTGATGGATATGTAGGTATAAACACCCTTGCTCTCGTGTCCCTGATTGGGACAACTCTGACGTGTGACCCATATTATCTCCAGAGTCCTCCTGTTAGATTGTGCCAAAATGGGCTTCTATGAGGCCTTGGTTGATATCAAAAGATTGCTTGGCT